TTTTTTTTGATAGCTTTTTTCCCCTTTGTTTTTTTGTTTCTTTTTACTATTCTATTTTATATCGTCATTCGTATATTTTTGGGGATTTTTGAGAGGTTTTTTTTTATTTTTTTTATTAAAGGTATAGAAATGTTTGAACAAACCTAACAAGTAATTAACTTGTCGTGGATCAACACTGTCGAACTGTTCTTTATTGGATACGTATCTAGAGGAAACTTTTCGTATGCGATTGTTACGAGACCATTCCTCGATAAGATTTCTTCCATCTAATCTTCTGCCTTCTTTGTCCGGTTCTTCCGGATCCAATGTCACTTTAGGAACAAAATGACGCCTTCCACCACCAAGAATTACCTACAAAAATTCAATATAACTCACATATCGTCAACGAACACAAAATTCAATATACTATTGAACACAATGAAAGTAGTCTAATTTATAATATCAATTTTGTTAAATGAAGTTAAAAAAGTTTGCCCATTCAGATTAACGAGCTTTTGTTTTCCATCTGGAAGAGCATTGAAACTAACTAGTGTGCCCGTGCAAAAGCACCCAATGCGTACCCGATTTAACTCACTATCGCTATATACTATTGCGTACCAAAATACGATGAATTATTGTTGGTTCGATGAATTCTCTTGTTGGATATGAACGAACAAATCTTCTCTTGCGTTATACGTTTGAAAATGATTAATATCTTTGTATGATATATTGTAGATATGTGTACATTTACAAGAATATAATAATTAAGTAATAAAGAAATAATATTTTCAATTAAAATATTGTACTATATAATAAACAGGTGTTACGATACAAATTGAATACTTATGTAGATTGTATTGATCTTCCTACTAATCAAATTAATCGTGCCAATAATTAGTAAGCGAAAATGTTTCCCTAATTGCGATAATCAATATTCATGGAATATTGATCGTATGAATTAATTAAATAGGTTTCATTATTATAAATATTTAATTCTAATGCTTTTATATAGGTTACTGTAAAAAATTGTATATATATATATATATATATATAAATCATTTCAAGTATGTATAATTGATTTTGTACAGAGTCTTCACGATACTCAGAAAAAAAATCTATTGTGTATTCAAAATAAATTTTATTGATTCTACTTTATCATACTTTTCAATGGACGAACTTTTGTTGAAAGAATTTTGATCAAAAAAATGAAAAATAATTTCACTGATTTTTTATATCATAAGATGTATATCATTTTCATTCTTTTTCAATTACCACTCATATAAATTGTTATAAGTTATTTTTATTAAATAAATATAGTTTCAGAAAATAAAATTAGTAGAATAGGTTTATTTGCAATAAGGTGAATTTGTGGATAAAGTTAAACCCTTAGGGTGTTTAGACCATGATCCAAAACGTCTTTCATCTTTTAGACAACTGCTTTTGATTACAACTTTAAGCTATTCAAACCAATTAAGCCAACCTTACTACAAATGCTTATTTATTAGAAACGAGAGTACTTTAATAATTCTATTGTGAATAATTATATTGTTATCAACATCTTTACTTGTAATAATAAATAATTATGATTAACAACTAAACGTTATATTATACGTTTGAAAAATATATATAACATAGTTTATATAAAATATATATATATAAATATACCATATCATTTACTAACGTAATTATAAATAACGTAAACAAAAAAAAGTTCTAAATTACTAATTATTATAAAAAATATATTTAAATATGTTACGAAAAAAAGATATCAGTGTTCCTTACGTTGATATATAACCTAATTTAAAATATAAAACATATTAATAAAAATATAACATTTAATTTACTAACGTAATTATAAATAACGTAAAACAAAAAAAAGTTCTAAATGAATAATTATTAAAAAAAAAATATTTAAATATATTACAAAAAAAAGATATCAGTGTTCCTTACGTTAATATTACGACCAGGCTCATCTTCGAGAAGTTGCCTAGCGATATCCTTGCAGGAAGGACGAGAAGCAGATGGAACTTTGCCATCGTCTTCCCAATAACGGCTCGCCGCATGAGCGTAAAGGGCCGCTGGTGTTGCGTGCGTGACTCTTGTGGTCGTAACCAATCCCGTAGATTTACCTAAAAAAGAAAAAAAAAAAAAAAAGAAAATGAAAGGACCAACCAAAAAAAACAAAAAAAGAAATAATATGTCGATCACGTAGTAGCCGAATTTTTTTCTTTTTATTATTTTTTTTTTTTTTTTTTTAGGAAAAATAGTCGTAGACAAAGCTTATACTTGCCTTGGCCCTGTGCCCAATTTATGAGCGATGGCACGTGCGCGTCGAAACTCGAGTAACAATTTTCAAAGCGAGCTGAAGAATCCAAACCAACTGTTTCGTAATTTGCTTTAACTCCGCAAAGCAAAGCTGTCGCGCACGCCGATGACTCGCCTACTTGAGCATCCATGTTGTATGTCTGAAGACAAAAAAAAAAAAGATAAAGAAAAGGGAAAGATTAGATTGTGATTAATCGTAAGAAGATTTTGCGAAATCAATTTATTAATTGGATTATTAGTGAAATTATAGTATATCGAAAGAACTTGATGATATTATATACGTACGTACGTACGTATTTGTGTGTTTGTGTGTGTATGTGTGTATGATTTATTGTTAGATTTATTTAATTTATTACAAATATCAATATTATTCTTTACTTTTATCTGTATAATTAAACTTATTTTTTTTTTATTATCGTCAGATTTCTTTCTTTCTATTATCTTTTTATCATTTACGCAAATAACACGTTTATAAAGTTTTATATATCATAATACAAATAAATTTACTTAAATGTAATTATTTAACTTTTGGTAACTTTAATATGGCACAATAGAAAAATGATACTATATATAAATATTAATTCGACAAATACAAAAATTGAGATGTAATTCAAAAAAAAAAAAAAGAAACAAAAAGATGAAAAGGTGAACGATTAACGTACAAATATTGATTCTTTCTTTTCATTGTAAAATATTGACATATAGTCTGTGTATTATTTTTTTTTTATTACTTGACGGATTTCAAATTACGACGGACAAACAGAGTATTATCTAAACATATAGAAAAAAAAAAAAAAGCAGAAACAGGTATGTAGTCCCATAAAAGACAGGCCTCATTATCATAGAAAATATCGATCGATTTGAATTTCGTTGAAGGGGATTACGAAGGAGAATGACATCGATGACGTTGTTGCTCGCTTGTTATAGTCAAAATAAAAAAAACAAAAAAAATAAAAAAAAAAAACAAAGGCTTTAGAAAAATTCAACGTGAAAAGATAATAGAAAGAAAAAAAAGGAATGATGAAAGAAAAACAGGAAATGAAAAAGAAAATTGTAGATGAGACGGATGGGAAAAGTAGACCGCAAGACCACACTTGTCCGGTCCACCGAGAACATATGATGCGTCATAGCCGTTTATTCACGGCACGAATATCTCGCTATCTATACGAGACGGAAATATCGATAAGATAATCGATCGTGAACGTAGCTCACGTCAAGGTGTTGTTACGCTTTATTGGTGGTAGCTGTGTGCAGCACGCTGCCGAACGAACGATGGACGGGTACGCGAGTATGTCGAAAAACGAAAAGGTAGAAGAGAATAAAGATCGAAATTCCGGGCGTTGTCCAGAAACGAGGGAGCTAGATGGAACGGAAGAGGGGGGAGGAGTAGTTTCCGTAGCACAATGTATCCCTTCGTCGAGAGAAACCGAGCGGACCGACGTGGATGGATGGCCCTTTCGGAAAGTAAAGTGAGTAACTACGATGGCTCAAACGATCCGTCTAATATAATCGCAATATATAATAAGAATCGAGATTTTGTTTTTGTTTTGTTTTGTTTTGTTTTTCTTTTCTTTCAAAAATGAATTTCGATTATTCCGAAATGAAATGTATCCGGTTGTTACAATATGACGAATTAATAGAATAATTTACTCAATCATTTTAACAAGTTTATTCTTTTTATAAGTAACTTTGATTGATTGATTGATTGATTGATTGATTGATCAAAATGATTAAACAATGAGATTTATCAAATTAGAATAAATAATCGAAAGATTATTTCTTTTTTGTTTAAGCGCGAATTATTTATTTCAACTGCTTACTTTTAAAATGAAAAAAAAAGAAAAAAAAAATTAGTTCCAGGAAGTACTTATTCGAGTGGCCCGATTGCTATATACTCGTTTTGATATAAAGTATCTCGAGCTTGGACAAGCTCAAGTTTTTTTTCTTAATCTTACTCAACGTAAAGAGATAGATAAAAAAAAAAAAAAAAAAAGAAACGATTCGCGTGAAAAACTTTCTTGTATTTCGCTCGACTCTACGTTGGTATTATATACTTTTAGATACACAGAGATATAGGTACTTACGATCGATTGCTCAACCGTTCGATTCATCGATCGTTCTAATCGCCAAGAGAAAGACGCGGTATCGTTTTCGACAAGGAGAGATAAAGTTCGAGAATCTCACGTACGATAGAATCGCGAACTTCTGTGATAAATGTTTGAAATCGATTTCAAAAGTTCCTCTTACCGATCCATTTGGAGATTTAGATCCAAGTTAAAATTAAATTGTGCTAACCGGATGATACTCTGCTACTTACTACATCCACGTCTTACTCTTCCAACCGAGATTACACTTCGCAACTTCGCGAAAACGTATTGTCCGTAGTATCAAGCTTCAAGATTATTGCACTTGTATTAAACCCTTCAAAATAACTGACTTAAAAAAAAAAAAATAAAAAAAAAAAAATACCTTACAATTGCGTTATTCTTCGCAGAGATACGAACGATAGTGGATCAACGTCGTCCAAAAAAACGGTCAACATCGATGTCCTTCCTGATGCAGAAAATTACAATATGCATCATAAAAGGAGAGGCGTTGCTTTGATTTTCAATAACATTAATTTCGACAAGATGTCAATAAGAAAAGGCTCCGATAAGGACTGCGATGATTTAACACAGACTTTGACAAATCTGGATTTCGAGGTCCGAATACACAAAGATCCAAGTTTCCAAACGATTTCTAAGATTTTACAAGAGAGTAAGTATAAGTTTATGAAAGTCGATCGTCTTGAATTTATAGCTTTTATTATTATTATTATTATTATTATTATTATTATTATTATTATTTGTATGATTATTTATTTGAACGTAGTCGAATAACGATTTGAAGCTGGCTCGTTATCCGAATTATTAGAGTGTAGAAGTACGAAAGTATAATGATCCAAGGGTCTCAGTCAGTTCGAAATTGTCCGAGCGTACGAATGAATCCTTTGAAATCATCGGCCTTTCCTTTCTCTTTTACTTCCTTAGTTAGTTAGGAGCAACCAAGCAAAAGAACGGATAATTTCTTCCTTGCCGTAGGCCCTTGTTGCTATATAACAGTTTATTTGTATTTCGTGGCATGAATATTCCAGGACGTTAAGTGGAATACACGTTTACTGCGACCAGCTGTTAATAATTGCAAGCCTCCACGTGGAAATCCAGACCCATCATTTAACCAATTTTCCTATGTACGTATATATGGATTGTATGTTTGCATTTATACGAACATACGTATATATATATATATATAATATGTAGGTTAACTTAACTCAAACGAGCCTCGGGCCAACTCGCGTTTAATAACTACTCATGTTCAGTCGAAGAAATATTAAGAGTGTGAGAGAGAGAGAGAGAGAGAGAGAGAGAGAAATGAACAATTAAAAATCTATAAACTTTCGATGGATCATATTGAAGTATTATTTTCAAGACTCTACTCATAAATAAAAAATTTATTATGTCGTCGAGGTTCGTTAAAGTACCAATTAAAAGTTGAACATCCACGGTGAATTGCAATATGGACGGTAAAATGAAAGTGGATAACGAAATGCGTTGTTCAATTTTATTCGCAATAGAAATTACATTCTTTTCATTAAATTTGAACTCTTATTAAAGAATTATAATAATTATTATATTAATATAATATTTCATATCTCCTTATATACATTTCAAATCGACGTATTTCTTATTACTGCTTTCATATGAGAAACACAAAAATTGTTATTAACATTTTAAACATATTTTGTATATATATATATATTAACCGAAAAAAGATATTTTATTCAGAATAATGTTCTAGTATTACTTTGATTACATTTATTATATTTGCTTAAAAGAGAAATATTAATTATTACGATATAATTAACGTTAAACTTTAATAATCATTACAATTTAAAATGTATTTTTATTTCGATAAATCATTATAAATATCATCTCCGATTTTGACAATTCTACGTTTCTTTATTTATATTAATTAAATAAAAGCAAAAAAAAAAAAAAGAAAAAAGAGATGTGAGATTAGATTTTGTATGATTCAATTCGTTACATAATTCGTATAGAAATTTTTCGCGGTTTAATACGCGTTGATTATTTATAAGCGAGCCTATATTTTACGGAAGCTTTCAACCTGAAATATATACTCGCCACATTCGCCACCAGACTGAATTTACATTCGCGTTGCAGAACTATCAGGTGCTGTTGGTCTCAGTGATGGTGTTGGTGGTAGTAGTGGGGTGAAAGTAGGAATAGAGGAGAACGGTTGGGGTAGGTTGGGGGTGGGTTGGAGGAGGGTTGGTTGGTAATAAACTTCGAAATTTATAGCGCATCCTCGCTATCGATCGAGACCGAGCGAGGTTTAGCCTTCTTCGAAAGTAGAAGAGAAAACGTTGCAAAGCGGATGTTATTAGCAAAGACGTGCCTTAAAACGACGATGCTTGTGGAAAATGTTGGGTGGTGGTGTTGGGTGGAAAAGCCAGCCAGCCAGGATAGCCACGATTAGACAGAAGCAATTACGTTAACGCCATAATATCTGTCCTTTGTTTCACGGATAATCAGTGTTCTCGTTCTCGAAAAAGAGAGAGAGAGAGAGAAAAAAAAAGGAAAGTGAACAAAAGAAAGAGATCTTGTGTACTCATTTGTTCCAAGGTTTTTTTTCTATCGTAAATAGTTGTTGTTTAAGAAGTTTGTCCGAAATGAAAATTCTTCTAACAACTGTAAAAATTATGTTCAAAACGATGAAACGACCTGGTATATATATATATGTTTTTTTTTTTTTAAATTACTTCTTGAAATATACTTTTTCTAATCTTAAGTCATTCTTTTATAAATTGTTAATTAATGAGTTGAGTTTCAAGGGGATTATGTCATACTCTACTCTGTAGTATTTTTCATGTCAGAATTGTGCATCTTATGATGATTCATGATTCAAGTTTTCTATTATAACGAGAGAAAATCTATGAAATATTTTAAACAAAGTTGACAAATCCGATGATGAAGTATTCGCAATGATAATCAACGGTGTTAAATTTATCTGAAATTTTACATTTCATTTCATTTCAAATATTGTTCCTTTTTTTTTTTAATTTTTTTTTTTTTTAATTCAA